CAATTCATGTCACTCTCTCAGACCTGTGTTGGTAAATGAATTAAGTAGTGAACTTTTTCAAATTCTCCCAGTTCATAGTGATTGGTGTATGTAGTTTTCACACAAGTGTGGAATTTTCAGCATGTCTACCATTGATATCAGGTGTGCGTCGGGCGAAGATCGTAGCTCGGAGCGTTTGAATGGTCAACGCGCGCCCTAACCGCTCTGGTGATTTTCATTTGATCGGATCAAGGATTTCATCATGAGCTGACATCAGTTAGAGAACCACTGGAAAACTCGGGAGTACTTAACAGTTGTTTCATCCTAGGTTGAAATTCTTCATCAGTACGCACCCGCTGAGTTTCGAACTCAGCGGGTGCGTACTAAATTTAGTGATATAAAGTGTTGTATTTCATGTCTCCGTCTTTTGTACACAGGACTAATCGTTAACGTTATTCACTGTAGTACTTAGTTTTGTGAGTTCTAATTTTTCATAGCACATTGTTTTTTTCAAGTCTGCAGATTTACCTTACTTATGAGTAGTAATGGTAAGTATGAAATCCATCTCCAAGGCTTTCTGCTTCCTGATTGCATCCACTGACGTTAAATTATTTTAAAATATATGAAAACCATGGATAGAACACCTGTGAGTATGAATGCACAGATAAAACGTTTATTTAATAGATTTGTTTCCCTTGATAAATTCATAAACACACTTGGAGGTGATAACAGCAGGGTATTTATCCAGTTTTGAGCGGCTTATAGAGGAAGTAGTGCTGAATAATCTTATGAGTTTAGCTACCGGGAAGCTTCTTTTTATTGCACCTTTCATTCTTTTGTTACACTGTATCTCCTTTGAATAAGATATAAATAAACACTTTTTCTTTTTTACAGTTGGTTGTTTTTCTCTTTTATCTTTTCCTCTGCTATACTTTTGCATAAATCCCTTAGGGTATCCATTTTCTCTTAGGCATTTCTTGACGAAATCTAGTTCTTCTTCGACCTTTTCGGTGAACCTTCTTTCCTGGCTCTGCCGTGCAAAGTCCTCACTAATCCACGTTTACAGCTTATGGGACAAAAGCTGCTGTAGTGAAGATACTGCCTAGTCCAGGTTTCTTTTCTATAGATGGACTTTTCAATAGTACCTTCGTTTGGTCTTTCTACCTGTAGATCCAGAAAAATTGAAGTCTTTATTATGCCCATATTCCATGGTGAATTTGATGTTTGGATGGGTTTCACTTAGGTGTTCATATAATGCCCATGCCCTACTGATATCCCATTAACTGTGTTTATGAATTTGCGTGCATTTACCGGAGCAAGTACATCGGAAGGACAGAAAAAAGGCCTCTTTCCGGTTTCCCGAATATATTCCGGGAAACCTGTATCTGAAAGGAAGCAAATATTCTCAGAGTGCAATTACCAGACATATTATTGATACCGGACATCTCGTAGATATTTCTAAGTACTTCAAAATATTAAATAGACAAAGGACCGCAAATTTTGCTACGATTCCCTGAAGCCATCGCAATCTAACGATTTAAGCCGGACTTATGTATACAGACTGACAGACAGTGTGTGTGTGATTGATCTCTCATTCCCTTGGTAACTGAATTTTGATTTTGACTACATTAATTAATCGTCTAATTCAGTGGTCTCAACTCACTAAGCAAATACTAATCTTATAAACTGTTTTTCGAGTTACTATGTGAACCTACAAGCTAACACTGTTCCTTTAATTAATTTTTTCTCTTTTCTGTCTTACCCCTCCCCCTCTTTTCTACATTGAAAGCGTATAAATTGATGATGAAAACGTAAACTAAAAAAATTGTGATGCTTTCATTTTGGATGCGTCAATTTTATAGTATCTCTTCACTACTACCACTTAAATAAATAAAGTATGTCATAATCATCTATATAACCATTGTAACTTCAGGTAGTCTGTAGCTGACGAGAACCTGTGAAATAGAATGATATCATTTTATGCCACAAATTTCGTTTTCCTTTCTTTATAGAAACCTCTGTTTATTAAGTTAAACGTTGGTAGCACAGTGGTTAGGACTCTCGCCGACTATGTACATGGTCCAAGGTTCGATCTCCTGACGACGCACACCTGATATCTATGGTCAGCCTGCAAAATTTGCGCTACCGATATCGCATGCTGAAAATTCCATACTTGTACGAAAAATACAGTGTGGAATCAAGTTGTAATCAGAAGTATAACAAATATCAAACATAAAAACATCTAAAATATACCATTCAATGGTGACTTGTTAAGTGAGATTTTGTTCCATAGATTTTCCAAAAGTATGCGTAGAACATTTTATTTAGGAAATCGATGCTTATCATTCTATAGTCGGCGAATGATTAGGACCTAGATGAAGGGTAAACTAAATAGTTTTGCAGCCTTCATGTGTATTTATCAATTCAACTGCTCCTAAAAAGATATTTATGTTGGGTAAGTTACTCTAAACTATAGTGATACAAAATAGAAGCCATCTAATGAATGGATTGATGGCCTGAAGAAACTAATCAGATGGGTCCGTAAGTAGAGTTACGGATGCTGTACATGATTTGCACTGCACATTTCATCCAGGTATATATTTTATTTAAATGCCGCTTAGACAACAGGCTCATTCGAAGTGAGAAAACGTGTAGATGATGTGAAGGTGAAACGCACTTTCAACTCTCATCCCTTGACCAAATTCACAATACTGTCAATCATACAGAGAGACGATTTCGTTAATCCCCTCAGCAGGACATACAAATTTCATTGTTAGTTTATGCAGTCATTTAAAAAAGCGCATCAGAGTAGTGAGTTGGCCAAGAAGCATAATAATTTGCACATATCTCAACACATAAACGTACAGAAATTGGTTTAGCTCAACTATGAGCAACCCAATGAGAACCCCATGAGGTTTTCTTAGAAGATATACAAAAATATTAATTTGTGGATGGTGACTAGCAGTGGAATCCAGGATGCGCATTTCGTCCCAGTTTGGTCTCGTCATCCGGACGCACTTGGATTTCCTAGTGAGTGTTGATGTTCACAAAAAGGCTCAAATCCAGTGCCCAAAATTTCAAACGACTTGGTGGGAATAACATCACTCGCTGCGTGATTCAGGCGCATTCAGGTGATGAGTCCCGACTTTGGATGAAATGCTCGTCTTGGATTCCACTGCTAGTAGCATTCACCACTTAACTTCTAATTACACGCTCAGACGTCGTCGAAGCATCTGCACAAGAATCCGACATATCAACCTTAGACCGAGCACTTTGGTCCAAGCAATCGATGGGAAAATCTAAAATTCAATTAGATGTACAAGAAAATTGCCTATTTAACAATTTTTAACATTACATTACTTTCGCATAAATGATTTTTTTTCAAAATACTCACGTTTACTTCAGACTTATCTCAGTGATCTTCAGGGATTTGTCAAGGATTTTTGTTGGATAGTTTCGTTTTGGGCAGCTATATTTTAGAGTGACTGTTGGGTGTTTTACTAAAAGGGTTGACTGAAGTGCTACTCAAAATCCCCTATCATATTTTGGCAGACAATACAAACAAAACATCTCTAGCTCCGTTTTGTCACATTTAGATGATATTGGTAAGGAAGAAAACGAAAGCATTCAGGGTGTTTGATTGCATCCCACCGAATCCTTCCAGCGAACTTCGTGAACGTCTACAATATCTAGCTGAGGAGTTAAGTTTTCTAACTATTAAGCCTAAAGTATGCATTCAAAGGAAGTTTGTACAGCTGTTAACCGTCTCTCGCCCTCTTTAGACTTAACTCGATGATAATATAACCTCCAACACCTAATTACATTTTCTAGTCCCTTTCTTATCATCTCTTAGTTTTATCCATCTCTAATTCCTTTCGAATATTTTTCGAGGTTCTCAGTTGACTTGTTCCCATAGTTTCGTGTTACTAATTGTTTCTGGTCATTTCATCTTTAGTATAGAGCGAAGCCAGCTATTGCCATCGGTGACACGCAATGCAAGCTTTTGACCTGTATAAAAGAATCCACTGACTTCAAATTTGTGTTCGAAATCCGAAACGGTATGCTGAGTACAAACAATTTCCTAACTGATTTATTAATGTTGATTGTGTACCTACCTTATCTTTCCAATTCTGACTGGTTTTAAAACGGCGCTACTTGGCTAGGTAAGTGAAGAAAATAACCTCTGTCAAATCTCTCCCGTTGTTGTTATTGCTTTTGATGTTGGTTGGTTGGTTATCTTGACCACCTCCATCTTCTCTATGTCCACCTGGAGTTCTGATCTTACTGCAGGCAACTTCAACTAACTTGATTGAATGAAGGATTTCTTCATGAGCTGAAATCAGAAAGAGAACCATTGTAGTACCTGCTGGAACTACTGAGCAGCTGTTTCGTCAGCTAAGTTTGAGACTCTTCCGAGTATGCACCCACCACTCGGGTTCAAAATCAGGACCCTCTGGTTACAAGGCAAGCTGGTAGACGATTAATACCACTGGGACTCGATCCAGTGGCTAGTCAGTGCATGAATTCTACCTTCTCCCAATTCACGACACAACCCAACCTTGTTCTCAATGTCTTCTTCGATGAGTTACTGCCTCACCTTCATCTTATTGTATCCCACTAGTCACAGCTGTCCACTTGAACCCCTAGAAGTTAGAATTCATGAGCTATTGGATCGAGTTTCAGTGGCTCAATGGTCTACGATCCAGCTCTCTGTCTTGTAACTAGAAAATCCTTGGTTCAAAGGTGGGCGGGTGCTGATTAAGAATCTCAAACTAGGCTGACGAAATAGCTGTCCAGTTCTCCCTAGAAGTTTTCCAGTGGTTCCCTAACTGATATCAGCTCATGATGAAATCCTCTATGCATTCAAACAAAATCCGTACAAACCAATACGCCTATCTTCCAGGTTTGTTTGACATTAAACATAATGAAACTTATAATTAACAAATATGCTATGAAAGTAAGAAGAACATACTACTGACTAATGAAGTATCATTGAAATATTCCTTTTTTCTGAATATACACACACTTTTGAACACCGAGAAACAAGAATAATGAAAATAGAACAATTATACAATATTTAACAAGGATTTTTAATAAGGTAAAGAATGAATAACAAAAGATCTGGGTTGAGATAGATAGGTAGATGCGTTCAATTTATACATATGTGACTAATATGTATGTATATATATGTTTGGTTTATTCTCTTTTACAAGTTGTATACATATATTAACTGTTCAACTGACTCTATTAAGCATTTGATGATAATTCTGTGGATACGTTTTGCTGTGGTTGATGTTGGCGACGCCGTTGATGTTGATGATGCTTGTGATGACGGTGGGAATATTTTTCATGTCCATTGTGCTTTTTTTCCTCTATTGACAAGGGTGAGAGGCCTGTCTGCTGAACATTCCCCTCAGCCGTTGTTTGACTAATATTTTCAGATGCAGTGAAATCATTCGTGAGATAATTTGACAGAGTACTACAAAACATGTGATGGCTAACACCTGACACATGATTATTATGATCAAGTGAAAGTGTATTCCCACAAGAACACTGGACTGTATGCATTATCTCCTCTTGACATAATGAAGAAGGCATCGACGAAGATGATGAACACGAAGAAATAGCAGAGGTAGCAGCCGCTGTTGTAGAATTCCTAGAATTTTTAGCTCTTATATAACAACGTATGCACATTTCGAATACTTCACCCAGGGAAATCATTGACAAACCAATCCATATTGAAAACAATCCACCAGTTTGTGATAATAAACTTGTCAGTGAGAGAACTTCTTTCTCCTCGACTTTACGTACATCAAAATTTGGCCGATTAATAAGTACAGCAAGTAGTTTTCTTTCTAAGACATTTGTATGCTCAAGAATATTAGCTGCCTCAGTTTCATTGCCTTTTTCTAGCTGACGTCGGGCTTCATGATATGGTTGAAATTCTGTACTATTAAATATGCCTAACCTTTTATTATGTGATGAATTCAACCATGTCAACTGCCAACTTTTAGTTGGCCATGTTGATGTAGATTGTTCTGATTCATAAGAGTAGAAGGAACACGGCATAGTACAACTTGGTATTGCACCGTGAACATAATTTTGTGTGACTGAACTCTTACACATGATTCTCTCAACAAATTTATGCATTTCATCTATACAAGAATTATTTGTTATAGTTGAATTTATATTATTATAATTATTATTTACATTTGATTCTGATGATGCTAATGAAGATGTTGATAATGACGATTTGAGCTGACGACGACTACAACCCGATGTACTGATGAATTTTGAAAGACTTGTACACGGTTCATAACCTTCATCTTCGTTATACGCATATTCCATTGAATAACAACCACAATGTTTATTGATATCATTTTGTATTGTAAGATGACGACAGGCATACTCTGAATAATTATAACTCATATCATATAACTGTAAATTCATTGGATGATTCATAGAACATCTACCATATGGTGGCATTTGTTGAATATTTTCCACAATAGACAAACGTAATTCAGTCAGTGTACCAGGTTTTAAATTTATACTTTTATCATTGATATTTGGTATAGTATCAGCGCCATGAATTGATATCAGTGCACCAGATAATTGAGATTTCACTTCATTATGAAAACAATCAATACAATGAGCACGTTTCAACATTTCATCTAAGTAAATATACATTTCAATATTTGTTAATGTTGAACGTAAATAACTATACGGTTCAAAGGTGGCACAGTTTAAATATTGGGCATGAATAAATTTACGCCAAATACCGTTGCGTTCACATGGTGCTGCAACGGGTTTACTCCCGTTCAGATAGGTTATCTATAGAGAAAAATGGAAAGAAAATACATAAAAGGCTAGAAGTCAACTTTATACAACTTTAGTGAAAAGTCGTCGTGACCAGTGAAGTAATAAAAACAATAATAATAATAATAATCTGCTTTAATTGAATTTAAGATTTTCCCGTCGATTGATTGGAAGACTAAAGTGTTCAGTCTCAGGTTAACATGTCGGTTTCTTGTGCAGATGCCTCGACGATGTCTGGGCATGTAATTAGAGGTTTATTGGTCGATGATGACTAGCAGCATCTTGGATTCTACTGCTCTCGTGGCCCACGTGGTCCAGTGGATAACGCTTTGGCGTTTGAAACTATAGGCATTGAGTTCGAGCCTCGGTGGGAACATCATCAATCACTGAGAAATGCAGGTACATCCGGATGACGAATCCCGAATAGAACAAAGTGCGTGTTATCCTGGATTCCACTACTAGTCACTATCCCTTCCCCCATTAAATAATCTACTTTATCCCTAAAAATAGTACTTATAATACTGAATGGAATTCACAGCATTTGTCACAATATTGCATCTCATTTACTCAAAATATAATTTAAATTAAAAATTAAAACAAAATTAACCAGAGGAATTTGTCCACATTTACGGGTATAAAGTCAAAAATACTCGAAGCACGAAATGAGAATGATAAATATAATAATGATAATAATAACAGTGAGTTTGTTTCAGAGAGTATCGTCGATTCAGTTTGGAAATTTTAGCATGCTATAGATTATTGAATCTAATATTCTGTTGATATAGCAACATGATGAGGGGAAATAGAAAAAAATTAACAGTTATTAACACAGCTTAAATAATGTTCACACTTATGAAGAAATAAACAAATAAAAACAAAACAAATTAAGAGGATTATAAATATAAGAAGTACAGTAACAATAAAGCTTGATGTTATAAGGGTGGATGGAGGAAATGGTTTATTTAATAGTGGAAATAAGGTTAGTTAGTTCATGCCTAACACTATTTGCATCACATAAAGTACGTGCTAAATAGGGTATGGTGAAATTTCTACACTTAAACGTGCGAGCATAAAGTCTTTTGAAATGACATCTTGTTCTATCTGAGAAGGAGAGGCAAGGTGAAAGTTGCGAGTAAAGTGGATGCTCACAGTCTGACAAACTTCCTCCAGCAAATTTTTCACATGACATCAAGTGCCCATCAATGCTAGTGTTTACGATATGGCTCAGTAGGATACCACTCACCCTGCTGACAGCCTTCAGAGTTTTACGAAGTATGATATAGTCTATTTTAAGCAATCCAGGAAAGAATAAGGGTGAACAGTAAAGAAGGATAGCAAAGATGCACGAGTTGACAAACTGTAAGAGGAGGAGTGATTGAGTTATGCCTGAGTGCCTTAACCTCCTAATGTAAAAAGTTAGACGAAATATTTTCTTTTAGAAATCGCTAAGACATGGGAAGACCAGGATAGGTCAGAAGAAATAATTAATCCAACATACTGAACTTCAGACTTGATTTCTATATCACTATCAGCAATTCCGCAACGGTTATATCAACCAACAGCTTCATTTAACTTTCTTTTACTTCGGAAACTAAAATTCACAGTCTGATATTTGGAAGGATTTAGTTTAAGGCCGTTAGATGAAGACCATTTGCTAATTCCTGATAGAAAGCTGTTCATCTTAGTACAGCCAACCTGGGGGTAAACGGACTTTGAAATAGTCAGATCATTGGCATACTTAACAAAGTTCATTTCATCAGAGTAAAGCAAATCATGCAAGAAGAAAGAAAACAGAAAAAGAGAAAGGACAGCGCCTTGAGGGACACTAGCCTCAGTAAGCGATGGAGTGAACGACTTTCACTGACATGCAGTGTACTGAAAGTCGGTTGGCTGTAGGCACAAACACATACAGATGATTTGGCCAGTGCCAGTCGCGTTGTATCGTGAACCGATAGAAGTTGGAATTCATCATCTGGTCATTGGGTGGGGTGCCAGTGCCTTCCAACCGCAACGCACTGAGTTCGAACCCAAGTGGTGGGTGCGGGCCTCTGAAGAGTTCCAAACTAATCTAACAAAACATATATCCAATAATTCCCGTGGATTCTTAATGATTCTCTAACTGATATCAGCCTATGGCTAAACTTCGAATTATTTTTTATTTCTTTATATTTCTTCAGGAGTCGATTTGTCATTGAAAGATCGTGGGTACTGGGGAACTGTTCTGTTTCCTGGTATGGGATAATTCAGGAGTGCTCAGTGGCAGGAACCATGAGAGATAGGAGCAACAAGCTTTAAGTTACGTGGCAAGATGGTTGATAATTAAGCCAATGGAGTGGTGTCTGATGTTATGTGGACTCTGTCTTCTCTCAGCTCACGCTATAGTGGGATTACTGCCAATCAATACGATCAATGAACACTCTCTTCATATGGTAGACTTAAGTCGCTGAAACTCCCCACTACAAATTCTTGTAACTATTAATAAATAGGAGAGGAATAATAACGATCTTAATGACAAGTTTAATACTAACACGGAACAGATATCAACTTCTTCATGGATTCTAATAATTCAGTAACCAATGCCATTTTATAACGAATCCTTGGAAATCTATAGTTGACAACATGCTTTCACTATAATAACTTTGTCGGCATAATACGAACAAGAATATACGTCTGTCAGAATGAAACTGAAGGAAATATTTTATCTTGTATTTCTAAAGGATGAGTAGAAGAAATAGAGTCTTAGGGAAATAACTGGTCTCAGCTCATGATGAAATCCTCCAGGCAATCAAACAAAAATCTCTACAAAACCAATACTTGAAAATTGATTTGATGCTCACTAGTGACTTGTCCTATTTATGCACTTACCTGTAGGTTCTGGTGAAAAGCCGTGACCAGTACGGTACAGTAGGTTGAAGGTGAGGCAGTCACTTATCAAAGAAGACATTAAGAAGTGGTTTCACCATGTCGCAAATTTGGAGAAGTTAGAATTCATGCATTGGCTGGCCATTGGATAAGGTCTCAGTGGGTGCTTACTGCTCTACGATCTAGCTCACCTTGTAACCAGAAGGTCGTGGGTTCAAACCATGCTGGTGGGCGCATATCGCTGGGGAGTCCCGAACCAGGCTGCTAAAGCAGCTGTTCAGTACTCTCAGCTGGTTTTCCGAAACTTTTCTAGCTGATATCACCTCAATATGAAACCCTTCAACCAGTCAGATAACTAATAAATTTCCAACTGCAAAGAACGCGAGTAAGTTTAAACCTCTTTCAATTCTATCTGAAAAAAAGGAGATTTAGAGATGGTAAGAGTCGTTTCTAGAATTTTTAGCCTAATTTTATCTTAGTGTCATAAATATTATGTAACAAAAACTAATAAAAGTGATTTTTAACAGAATATTATCGTATTTATGCCAAGGAATATGAATTGAATGACCCTGAATGTGTGCATCGGTGCATCGGCGGTAGAGGGGCTGCCGGGATTCGAACCTAGGACCACGTGAGTGGCCAGCTAGCACTCTACATCTGTACCATCAATGCACAGCAGTGGAGTGCTTGCCAACCGCGCTACAGGTGGTCCGGAGTTTGATCCTCCGTCGACGCAATCCTAGACCTAGGCTAGTAATAAGACTGGTAGAGAGGGAAGGTTGAGCGTGTCGCTAGCAACCTTATCCGGTTAAAATAAACGCCACTGCTACCGAAAATTTAAACCCCTTAACTTGAAGCCCCATACTCTACTGGGAAAGCAAATGAGTAAAAGAAGACACCGAGTATATTTTGCACCTCTATCTAAACTAGAGAAAATAATGTCATGTAAAACAAAAGTAGCATATCAAGTAAACCTACCACATTTATAAGAAAATTGTTTAGGGTCATTTAGATGACGTTTATCAATTAATTTTAAAGGTTGTTGGGTAATGCCAATGGATCTCAATTCAATACTTAATTCACTTGATGATTCAGATACAGGAACCATTTTAAATATCGTTTCAAGAAGCTGGCACAACACCATTAGAAAAGGATTCATTAAACGTACCAGTGAGAGGATAAAACAAATGCCTGCACATTTTCTGAGAATAATGCCAGGCATCTGAACTGAAATAAAGGTTGGATAGGTTTCAAGAATTAGCAACACTTGCGAAAGTACTAAAACCAGAAAAGCAGCAATTCTTCTCGGATAAGGGGAAATTTTTACCTGATATGAAGTACGCTGACTATTTATTTCCTCGAATTAAACTGTTATCAGTCTTATTCTATTAAGTTCAGCATGTAGAATGTTTCTAAGATTTAAGAAAAATCTTACAGGGAGAGTTGTCGCTATGGTGTGGTGGTTAGGACATGGTGTTGTGACCGATCGAACCCAGGTTCGAATCCTGGCAGCGACATCCTATTCTCCGCTTTTGCATCTGTGGCGCAGCGATAAGATGGTCACCAACCACGCCTCATGTAGTCTGTGGTTCGATCCCTGGCCACAAACGCGATCCTTTGCCTCGCTACGTCAGTAATATAACCGGCTAAGAGGGAAGGTTGGGCATGAAGCTAGCAACACAATCCTGTAAAAATAAACACTGCCGCTGAAACTTCATGCCTTTAACTTGAAGCCCTATATTTCACTGGGAACATAAAGGAATAAAAAACAAAATGCAGGGAGAATCCGAAGGACATTCCGATGAATCGAAATGTGAAATACGATAGATTTTATAATTCTAGTATATCGTAAACACACCAAATACGATTCATAAGTCAGCTTTCAAAACTCGACTAGAGTATACTAAAAAACTTCCAGTTATCTTTAGTGAATTTATTACGGTGTTTAATCACCTGTAATAATTTTTTTTTTAACGTGACGTTGCTTGAGGAACAGTTAATATATGATCAAAGGGAAACAGACAACAGGATTCGATACTTCTCGATAAACTGGAAAAAACTTTGTACCTTCAACATTCTACATACACCTAATAGAATAATCCGAAAAGTATATAAATATATATACATATACATATATATATATATAGAGAGAG